TTTCTTTCCTTCCTTTTCTTCCTTCCTTTTCCTTTCTTTCTCCTTTCCTTCTTTCCATCTTTTTCTTTCTTTCTTTTCTACCTTCCTTTTCTTTCTTTTTCTTTCTCCTTTCCCCTTCTTTCTTTCCTTCCATCCTTCTTTTCTACCTTCCTTTTCTTTCTTGTCTTCCTTTCCTTCTCCTTTCCCCTTCTATCCATTTTTCTTTTTCTTTCTTTCCTTCCTTCTTTTATACCTTCCTTTTCTTTCTTTCTTTCCGTCTTTCTTTTTCTTTCCTTCCTTCCTTCCTTCCTTCCTTCCTTCCTTCCTTCCTTCCTTCCTTCCTTCCTTCCTTCCTTCCTTTCTTTCCTTCCTTCCTTTCCCTGAATTGCGCCTGATGCCTTCCGGGGCGCAGTAGCATCCCCAATTCCCACCCGGATTGTCCAAGGAACGGGGTCCTTCCCACATAGGGTTTTGCATTACACTTATTACAAAAAGTGCTTTAAATATTCATTTAAATTTCAAAACAGGGGGCATGATCCAACTCTGGCCCCCTTAAAGACCTGGGGACTTCAACTCCCAGAATCCCCCAGGCCTGGGGAATTCTGGGAGTTGAGGTCCCCAGGTCTTTAAAGGGTGTTTCAAGGTGTTTTAACCCCACAAAAATTCCTAATTTCAGAGTCTCCTGCAAACAAACCGCTTGGAAAACATCCAAATAGTCACTTATCAGCACTGTGATTTCCACTTTGGGGGGATCCGTCGCTCCAATGGATCCCCCACCCCAAACTGGGGGTGCTCCGAATCTCCCCCACCCCCGTGGAGAACAGCAGAATACCGGAGGGACCCCCAGAGGTCTTGTAGTCCAACCCCAACATTACATATAGACTTTTTCGACCTCCCCTGGCGACACACAAACACATACAGAGGATCTGGTGGCATAACTCTTCAAAATGCACCAATTGGGGGGTCCCCCCCCAACCTCTCCCCCGCCCAGCCAAGAGGGAGGGGGAAAATCCAGACTGTGTGGGTTTCCCCCCATTTCGATTCTACTCATAAGTTTTTGGACACCTGAAAGCTGTTTTATGGCGAGGGCAGCTATTTGAGGGTGGGGGGTTGGACTAGATGACCTACAAAGTCCCTTCCAACTCTGTTAATCTGACTTCTCCCAATGCCCATTGGGGTCCTGGTCTCGGTTCTCAACCCCTTTGGACTACAAGGCCTATCTTTCCCTAACCAGGGTGCAAAGATGGGTTAGGTTTGCTTTAGAGGGCTTTGCATATTTGTGTTTTTTTAATTTTTATTCTCCAAGTTCTTCCAAGTTGAAAATGTCCTTTTTTTCTGGCTTTTCATTTGGATTAAAACAGACCTTGGAAGGGACCTTGTAGGTCATCTAGTCCAACCCCCGCTCTCAAATATCGGAAGGCTGCTCTCCTGCCTCCCCTGGTCCTTTTGTTCCTTAAAATCAGATGAAAGTCAGATGAGCAGAGTTGGAAGGGACCTTGTGGGTCATCTAGTCCAACCCATCCTCCTCAAATACTGGAAGGCTTCTCTCCTGTCTCCCCTGGTCCTTTTGTTCATTAAAATCAGATGAAAGTCAGATTAACAGAGTTGGAAGGGACCTTGTGGGTCATCTAGTCCAACCCCCACTCTCAAATATTGGAAGGCTGCTCTCCTGTCTCCCCTGGTCCTTTTGTTCATTAAAATCAGATGAAAGTCAGATTAACAGAGTTGGAAGGGACCTTGTGGGTCATCTAGTC